AGATATGGCACGAGGCCAAATGTATGGGGCACCCAGTGAGGATCAAACACCCTCTTCAGTCATAACTGTTCTAATGAGTCAAGCTTGCTAACTTTTACACCACATGAAAGTTTTCTAAAGGTAACTTAGATGTGTCATAAGGCTAAGTTTGGAGCACACAGTGAGAATCAAACTCCCTACTCAGTCATAATTGATTTAGAGAGACAAGCTTGCTAACTATTAACCACTTTAAAGTGCCCAAATGATTTTCTAAGTGTAGCTTAGATGTAGCACAAGGCTAGAAGTGTGGAGCACCCAGTGAGGATCGAATGCAATACTCAGTCATAATAGATCTAGTTTGTTAACCATTACACCATGCTGAAGTCCTTGAAATCGAAACCCCTAAAGGTCCATAGCTAAAGAATCACGGATGATGTCTGCTAAAGCATGTGAGAGATGCATTTTATGGAAAATAGACAACTATATTTTTTCTTTTTAATATTGTGCAGTGTTCAAACATTTCTATTTCACACTATGTTGTAAAATATGAAAATAGAAAATTCCTGATTTTTCTCTTTTATTTCTGATCTTTCCCTCTTTTAATTCTGATTTTTTTTTAGGCAATTACTTTAAAAAAATGATGAAGAGCTTCCTTATTCCTATTATTTTATTACTAGTTTTCATCTCATTTCCACTGTTTACGTTAGCAATCAAAGAATCCAGACTGTTGGGTTAAAAATTAAAATCAACAAAAAGTCATTCTCCTTGACTTTATTATGTGATGGAAATTGAAGTTTTATTTTCTTTTTCTAATTGTTGATTTCATTTAAGCTTACATTATGATAAACATCTGGACAAAAATATCCGTGAAATATTATTTCTTTATTCTCTAAACAGACGCACAAATTCAACTACAATGAGGTATGTAGCTTATTGTTAATTAAAAAAAATTAAAAGCCAATTGGAACTGTTTAAGGGAAGTAACTCGTTATTTTTTGTCCGTATTTGTACACTATCTGCAGTAAATGCTTTCCACCCAAAATGACCCCTCTCTTCAGTTGATAAATTTTGGTTTTGGTGGTTGAAGTATTGTAACAATTTTGCCCAGGGCACGCTTGAAGCACTCCACAATATCACTGTTAGATTTATTGATATTTGAATTTATTTGCTATAAGTAAAGATGATACATTTGGCACTGCATATTTTGATTAATGCGAGAAAAAAAAACAAGGGAAATAACCCGCTTACACTAAGGGAAACAATCCTTGGTATGTCTAAGGGAAGTAACTCTCTCAAAAAGAGAAGTAACTCTGTGTTTAACTAAGGGAAGTAAATCAGCAGATGGATCATTTTATTCCTCAGATTGTTATTAAAGCAAAAATGTTTAAAAAAAATAAAAACAGATATTCACCTATTTTCATGGTCTTTTAAAAATATAAATAGACTTTCTTTTTTCTTAATTCAGAGCATGAAATGTATATCACTGTTATTACCTATTATTAAATGTCAGAACTACTTAAGCCTACTGTCTGAATTTAACTACTTGACGTAGAGTCTGTCTATAGTTCTGAGATGTGGTATTATGTACATTATTTACATTATTCGGACTATCGTCCTCATCTTTGTCGCCATATTTATTGCAACGTTTCGGCCGTTGTACGCTCTGGCCTTCTTCAGGTGGTTGGAATGTCGAACTGAACCCTTTATTTCACTTGCTGGGGTAGACTGTTCTAGTTCCACGTGCCATGTTTGATGGATGTCAGTTATCAGTTATCTCCTGTTAATTTCCCTCTGAAAGTTCTCCACTGCCTTAAATGGGTATTGAACTGACTCTCTTTGGGTCCTTTCACTGGATCTAACCAACGCCTTTATCCACTGTGCCATGTGTCCTTGAGGACAATACCCGGTTAACATCCATGACATCCATCAAACATGGCACATGGAACTAGAACTACCCCAGTGAGTGAAATAAAGGGTTCAGTTCGACATTCCAACCACCTGAAGAAGGCCGGAGCGTACAACGGTCGAAACGTTGTAATAAATATAGCGACAAAGATGAGGACGATAGTCCAAATAATGTAAATAATGTACTTGACATAGATTTATTTTATTCTGTTAGGTATGTATAGTAACTAGGAAACGAATACAGTTCATTTTCTGGTCTTTTTTATTAGATTTCTTATTTATTTCTCAATATGATATAAAATCATATAAATTACCAGAAATCTCTAATTGATTTGATACATGGTATTATCAACATGTTGTTGCAGATTGGCAATGTATTTTGTGTATCAGAAGGTTAGGTTATCAGAAGGCTTAGAAATGTAGGTGTTCACAAGACATTCATCCACAACAAATATAAAAATAAGAAAAATTGAAGGTAAAATCATTCAGGAGGAATAAAAAAAAAACGTGATTAAAGGTTTAACAAATAACATTCATTTTATATCAATTGAACATACACAATCAAGATAGATATTGCTGATCATGTGTGACCAGTTGTAATAAAATATGTAGAAGGATTATGCTGAGTTTCAATGTGTGTAGGCTTGTGGTTAGGATTTGTGTATGAAATTAAATAAGATGTTTTATCGTATTACAAAATGTCTTTTGTGGGAGTTCAGTCACTAGTGTGTATGTGTGCGTTTGTTAAAGTTACTGTTCAAAGTTTGTATTTTTGCTCAAACATGCTACAGTTTTAAGGTCTCGGCCAATGAAAAACCTAGTTTGCTGAAACTAAGATGCTGATTGGTTAAGAGGTGATTATGTGTGAAAAATGCATTATCCCGGAGGGGTGACAGGTAGGTATGGAATATTCCATCAATGTCTCTCTAAGTTGGATGCCTTGTTAGTTGCATGTTTTCCACAGGTGTCAGTTTTCAAGTTCAGGTAAATGGTAGGATGTCAAATTCTAAATTTTTCCAGGCAGGTAAATCATCTTTACTTTCAAATTTAAGATAACACAATCTTTCAGTCTCCATTACTTGTAATGAATCAAGATTTGTGTTTTTGACTTTGTCCTATTCTTGATAACAGAGACAACTTATTACTTAACATATCTTAAAATATTAACTTCATTTTTTAAAATAATTTAAGGTTTTGTAATAAAGAATATTTAATTATAATTATAGTGGCTTATACTGATAATTATAAGATTTTTGCTCAATTTGTCAAAAACTACTGCAGAAAAATAATTTCAGAGACAAAATCTGAACTTTTTATAAAATTACATTTAGTTGTATTTTCTAGTGATGTTCAAATTTTTATAGCATATAAAAAAAATTACACATTATTTCTGTTATTTTCTGTTAAAGCCATTTTGTTATTATATTTCAAGCACAGATAATCTTCACACTGCACAGCAGGTTTGCTATAAAGCATGAGTTTAAGCCAAATAAAAATCATTGTGCTGGGATGTCTAATTTTGATCTCACATGAGATTAAGGTCCATCATCTGTTCAATAGTATAGAATATAATGTGACTTTGTATATTAATTAGTCATCATGGCATTTCCTATTTCAAATAAAATATTCTCTTGATAATAGTAAAATGGAGTCATGGAATTGTCATATAGCCTGACATGCTATACCATTTAGCTAAAGATAAAGTGTCAAATTACTGTTTAAATGTAGTCAATACTGTTTATTATAAATAAGGCATTTGTTTAAATATTTGTATCTATAAAAATAATGTATAAACAGAAAATAAAACACTTGTTGGGCTTAGTCCATTTCATAATATATGATGTCATTTGTTTACGTTAAGATATGTTTCAAGCAGATATAAACATTCGAAAAAAAATTATGGGAAATTTCTTGTTTAAAAACAGTAATTTGATTTTGCTAGCCAGGCACTTCCTCTGAAGCTAAATGGCATAGCACATCAGGCTATATGATGATTCCATGTAGAATACAGGTTTGATTCTTCTCGAAGAACACATATTTTCTATGAAATTTCTCTGGCATTCAGGCCAGTAAATGTAATTAATACTGTTTATTATAAATGGAGCATTTACTTAAATATTTGTATCTATAAAAATAATGTATAAACAGAAAATATATTAAGATTTTATAAGTAAAATGTCCTTGTACATGATTACTTAAATATTGCCATAAGTTTTTGAACAAACTGATTAAGTGAGTTTTATTATAATTCACAAAAATAATTTCTTTCCTTCAAAAATACACAGCTAATTTAAAGAGTAAATAATTTGGATTTGTTATTTACAATATTTACATGTGGACTACTGTCCTCATCATTGTTGTTGTTATCACAATGTCTTGACCATTGTGCCCTCTGGCTTTCATCAGGTGTATGTTGACCTGGGTAACCTATAGTTTACTCATATTGACATATACTTATCTATTTAGATGTGTGCTTAATTTATTTTGGAATACTGATATTTTTTTTTTATTATTCTGTTTAAAGTTTGGTGCAATGTAAAAATTTTCTATTTGGTATTGAAGCTAAATAAACATTTATAATAATTTTCATAGAATAACTTTACACCCAATTAAAATATCTGCATTAAGAGTCATTTTAACCCTAGAACACTAACCATGGGTATAGTACCCAGCGCAAATTTTCCTATATTTAATTACAATTTTCAGTACCTGATTTTCTTACCTAAACAATGTTTTTCAGTTCCTATTAATGTTAACTCAAAGTACTTCATCTGAAGTGCCTGCATGTAAGATATTTTAAATAAAGATTTATATTTAATATTTTTTTTGATATTTTCAAAATTGGGTATGATATACCCATAGTTAGTAGTGGTATAACTTTAATTGATGGTTACTGCTCTAGGATTAACATAGCTTATTCTACTACTTACTGTTTATAGGTTTTTGCTACCAAATACTCATTGCATTCTGCTTATTTTTTTTTTCTTAATTGTTTTTCAGATTTAAAGCAGGAGAATGCAGATATGAAGGCCTACATTGATAAACTTCTGGCCAAAGTTCTCATTCACTGTCCAGATGCTTTGTCTGCTGATGGAGATCTCAGCCCACCAAAATGAACACAACAAAAGAGATTCATAGTTTATTTCCTGTATTTTTATTTTTAATACTTCATTCCAAAACAATCATTTGATATATGCCTTAAACCCGCCACCAAATCTGTGAAGGCCTTGCTACAAAATGCAACAAGCCTAATTCTAAAAATGTATCATATTTCATATGTAATTAAATTTTATACTTTCAAATATATTTGTATAATAAATGGGCAGTGGTGCTCATTTTTTAAACTCTTGGTCAATTAGCTTGGTTTGAAGTCAGACTTCTAAGCACTCATTTCAATTTTAGACATGTTCCTCAGTCTATTTACTGCAGTTTATTTCTTTTATATAAGTAGCTATAAATTATGTTGTAATATCTACCAGCATGAATACAAGTTCAAGCACTTGTGATAATTTTAATAAATTTCATTTATTGTTGCGAGTTTGCTTCTTTAACAGCCAACTATGAAAATCTTCCAGGAGAATTCTCATCTCTCTTTTCAACCGAACTTTTCTCTATTTTTTTCAATGGTCTATTTTCGCTGTTTTAAAAATTTACTTCTTCAGTTAGTCTTAGCAAATGATTTTGTTTAATTTTTAAGCCAACAAATGGCTGTCCACCTTTGAGTCAACGAATGGTTGTCTATCTTTGAGACAATGGATGGTTGTCCTTTTCATTTACTTCCAAATTTCATCTTCAAGACATATGAAGAAAATGGGCTGAAATACCTTAATGGCATAAAAGCATTTCGCAATTTGAATTTACAACATTAAGAGACGAAATTGCTCCTTCAGACATGTTCTTGTTGGAAGTTGCAATTAAAAAAAATCTTGTTACCTTTTTTCCTTCAAATTCATTATTTTTTTAAACTGTTATTCAAAGGCTTCCCAATTGATAATGTATTATTAAATTTCCTGAGTAACTTTCTAATTCATCTCAGATTTTAAGATAACTTTTGTTAAAGTTGAGTTGAATTTTCAATGCAGCCAAAAAGAAATATGAAAAACTTAATTGATGAAAACTGTATCCAATTCAGAAAAAATTCTGATGTGAAATTTCTGTCAAACAGTAAGTGGTTTATTCAAAATAGTTGTCAATAGTTTTTGTATGCATTACTGCTTTATATAAATATGTTGAAAACTGAACCATGTATTAGGATATAAAAGCAATTTGTGTTGCTGTTAACTGATACAAATGCATCATGATGCATAAAATTATCTTTTAGAAAATTCAAATATTAAATCTCAATTTCTGCCCTTGCATTTACAGCCATTTATTTTAACATTAAAGAAAGAATGTTATCAGAAGTAATATGCCAGCAATATTTTTGATGTCATCTTGTCTGGAAATTTGTTTATAGCTTTCTTATCTATGTTATTTTAATCAGTCAGATTTTGAACTGATTAAATTATGTATGTATGTGTGTGTGTATATATATATATATATATATATATATATATATATATATATATATATATATATGGGGAGGACTGGGCAATGGGTTAAAAATAAAAAGAAGCAAACATTTTGAGAAAGAATGTTTATTTTTTAAAACAAAATCTCATTCAAATGGTAAATTTTATATTTACTTCAAGATCTTTTGCGTCCATCCAATTCCATATTTGTTTTCTCATCAAAAATAGGAAATTATAATGTAATCTCAAAGATGTGTCTCTCCTGATAAAAACTCTAAAATTTAATTCTTTTTATTTTATTTTATGCACCATATCCTTTCAGGACATAGCTCTCCACGTCTTCATGTCCCTTGTAGTTCTAAGCAACTTTATCCCATTTTACATCTCACTCTGTCTTTGTTGTGCTATCCATTCAATCAAAGACATTATGTAGGTTACTCTCTGTTTCACCCTGTCATATGATTGTCAAATTCTCCAATCCCTCTTTCCTCGTTATGTGTCCTAGAAATTTCAGCTTTCATTTCCGGATTATTAGCACCAGTTTCTTTGTTACTTCTATTCTGTTTAAAATTTCTTTGTACTTTAATAATTATGAAATAACAAGATCCAATTCACTGTAGATTTGTAAGAAATTCCATGTATAATTCAGTAAAGAGTAATGCTTTTCATCTTGGCCAAGCATCATTCTCTTATGCATTTCAACCTCAGTAAAGTAATAAATGTCATGATATCTAGCCCACTTACTATGGACACTGCTCCAAACCACATTTTATAGTGGCTCATAAAAGCAGAGATTCTGCCTTTGCTTCCTGTGCTTTTTATTTATCTATTTATTTATTATTTATTTATTTATTTAATTAGTATAAAAACTAAAGATAAAGTTCTATAAAACTTTTCCCCTCCACTATAAAATTTCTTTTGAAAATATTTAATATCATCTTATGGTGATAGGGCTTTTGTTGACACTTTACAAAGGTTAACTACTTGCCTACATTGATTCATTACTCATGGCATACACCTGATGATTTCATCTATATATATATATATATATATATAAAATTACTTTAAATGTTATTTTTAGTGGATACCCATATTTATATCCACTATGAATCCACTAAAATAAGGTTTGAAGTAATAAAATGTTGTATTAAAGAAATAAAATATATATATATATATATATATATATATATATATATATATATATATATATATATATATATAAAAATTTTAATGCCAGATAAAACAGAAATCAATGGGGACTTTTTACAATTTATTAATCATTTATCTGAAATAGAATCTCAAATAAGAAATTGATACTCATCAAACAAATTCAATAAAAATGTGGTGATTGAATTGAAAATTTGTTTTGGATCTTTGGCAAAAATCAATTAGAAGAATTTTGATAGTTGCAGAGGCTTTTAAAAAAATCAAAATGTATTTCTTTTTTGCTTACATTTTCTGTTTATATCAAATTTTGTACAGGTTATGATTTTATAAGCTTTTATATATATATATATATATATATATATATATATATATATATATATATTTAAAAAAAAGTATAATTATTCCTTTTTGAACTTCATGACCTTTAAAGGTTTTGGATAAATGCTTCAAGTTTGGTAATAATGTTTATTTGGATCAAATGATGGAAAAAAATTGATAAAAATCAGAGGTTGTACAATAAATCAGTTTAACTTGACTATTTAATAAATAGAATAATAAATATTATTCTGTTTAGTTTCATATTAGAATGGTTATTTTCTGGAGTAATTTCCTTTTATAATATTTGTAGAATTTCCAACATGGGTTGTAAAAGTTTAATTTCTGAGGAAAATTAAAAAAAATTTCTCAAATGTCTAATGTTTTACATCAACAGACATCAGGTATAAGAAATCGGAGAGACAAATTCAAATTTAATTCAGGTTACATTCAATTACATGCAAATACCCTGGAGAAAGCTATGAATCTGTTTTTTATCCCTCAGCTATGGGTTAAATAACAGGTCGTATAACCTTGGTTGGCAACCAGTCTACTGTGAAAGAAATGGTAACCAACTGTGGGGAAATCTGTCAATTCAGTCATGAATAATGATCCCCTAAGTGTATATCACATATGGCACTTACTAACCAACATAACAATATTTACAACAAAATGCTCAACTGTTGCAAATTTAGAAGACAAACTTTGAACTATTGCAATTCATACTGTGAGCATGCTTGCTACTCTAGAGTGCCATCTTGAGTACAGCAAAGTCATATGCACAGGCAACAGAGGGATGCCACTGAATACTTATCAACAATTTCTGGCACTTGCCACAATAAACACATGCTAATTGTTGCTGTTTTTCTTTGCCATAGCATTTAAATTTTCAAGTTAAATTCTTTTTTTTTATCTGTTAACAAATATTTTCATTCCTTTCATCAGACACATGCTTAGTTCCACTTGATAATGACTAATATAGTCAACTAGTATAATAAAAAATAACTTTTCTGAGTTGAGAAATATAAATAAGTCAAAATAATAATAATAATAATAATAATAATAATAATACAAGACAGTCCAGTTGTTTCCTTTTGCTGATTAGCAATACACAACCATTAACACTTTGATCTAAAATGCTTACATGCCAAAATTCTGTTATTCCTTTTGCTGATTAGCAATACACAACCATTAACACTTTGATCTAAAATGCTTACATGCCAAAATTCTGTTATTCCTTTTGCTGATTAGCAATACACAACCATTAACACTTTGATCTAAAATGCTTACATGCCAAAATTCTGTTATTCCTTTTGCTGATTAGCAATACACAACCATTAACACTTTGATCTAAAATGCTTACATGCCAAAATTCTGTAAGTTTTTCTTTATTTCTCTGTCTCCAAGGTGGAATTTTTGCTTATACCAATTCTCCAGAAGTCTAGTGAGAATTTTATTCTACTAAAAGGCTGTTGCTTTTAAAGAAAATCTTAAGAAAAAACATTATGGTAAAGAACAATTTTCTAAAATCCTCTTTTGATCTTTTCATATTTGTTCTTATGTATATTCACAATTCATAGGTAAACAGACTAAAGTTTAACTCAAAGATCAATTGGTCATATTTTCTGGTTGTGACAACAATGACATTCAATTTGCATTTTTGAAGTACTAAATATGCTTCTCTTTTTGCTTTTATTTATGATGCTAAATCTATTTTAATTCTCTTTACTAGAGCAGGTCTTTTAATACCTGCATACTGCTTGTGTAGGTCATATATAACATTAGAAATAATTCAATCAATAAGTGACTATTAACACTTCCATTTGTAGTGAATATAATGTATGTCTTTGCATATCATGTGACTTAATTTTTAAGTTAATTTAACTACAGTAAATTGATATATAGTTGGATCAACAGTGTAGCCAGGACCAACAATACACATGATAATTTTATATCTTCTGTATAATGTGACCTCCTTAAAATTAGCTTCAGAAGTCATATGATACATATGTATATACCCATACAGTATTTATAAATCTTTAAAAAACTTGCATTACTTGTGGTCGGCAAATATACATGTTTTTCAAACACCATGATATGTCGGTCTGTAGCATTTGTGTTAG